CCTTTCTTCCTTCCTTCCCTTCTTCTCTCCTTCCTTCCTTTCTTTTTTTTTTTTTTTTTCCTTTTCTGGTGCTAGGAATTGATCCTAAGGGCACTTTATCACTGAGCTATATTCCCAGCCCTTTTATAAACATGTTTTTGAGACAGGGTCTCACTAAATTGCTGAGGCTGTTTTTGAATTTGCGATCCTCCAGCCTCAGCCTACTGAGTGGGATTACAGGAGTGWACCACCATGCCTGACTCCCTGCATGTAAATTTTACCTTGATTTAAAAAATAGMAAGGATTTTGATAACTACATATGARGGCATGTATGGATAAGGTAAATTTATGCAAAATGTCTAAAATATGCGCAGAGGTGATTCCAATGCAAAATCATTCACAGTGGCCTCCATCTATTTTGTGTCTATGGATTTGACCAACTGTAGATTGAAAATATTAGAAAAAAAAATCATGTTTGTCCTGAACATTAGATTTTTTTCCTTGTCATTATTAGTTTTTTKGGGGGATACCAGGGGTTGAACTTGGGGACACTCACCCACTCATGCACTAAGCCACATCCCCAGCCCTATTTTGTATTTTATTTAGAGACAGGGTCTCACTGAGTTGCTTAGTACTTTGCTAAGTTGCTGAGGCTGGTTTTGAACTTGTGACCCTCCTGCCTCAGCTTCCCGAGATGCTGGGATTTCAGGTATGTGCCACCATACTCTGCTGTCATTATTTCTTAAACAATACAACTAACAGCTATTTATACAGCATTTACATTGTATTAGGTTCTATTATTTATTTATTTAGGTACCAGGAGTTGAACCCAGGGATGTTTTACCACTGAGTTATTCTCCAGACTTTGAGACAGGGTCTCCAGTTGCTTAAAACCTCACTAAATATCTGAGGCTGGCCTCACATTTGTGATTATTCTACCTCAGCGTCCTAAATCAATGGGATTACAGGTGTGCAACACCACATCTGGCTATATTAGGTAATCTAGAGATGACTTAAATCCCGTGGGAGGATGCTCAAAAGTCATTTGCAAATACTGCCTATGCCCCCAGCTTTTTTTGAACCCAGGATTGAAACCAGGGGCACTTAACCACTGAATCACATCCACCATTTTTTTTTTTTTTTTTTAGTTGTTGATGGATGTCTATTTTATTTACATGCAGTGCTGAGAATCGAAACCAGTGCCTCACACATGCTAGGCAAGCACTCTACCATTGAGCTACAACCCCAGCTCCCAAACTCTTTTTGAGACAAGGTCTTGTTAAGTTGCTTAGGGCCTTGCTAAGTTGCTGACACTGGCTTTGAACTTGCAATCCTCCTGCCTCAGCACCCTAGCCACTGGGATTACAGGTGTGCACCACTGTGCCCRGCACTAYCTATGCCCTTTTATAGAAGGGTTTGACTATCTGAGGCTTTTGGTGTGTGTGGTGGGTGCTGGAATCCCCAAAGATAGCAAGGACAACTGTAGATACAGGTTGTAGCCCTTTTAATAGCCACACGACTTCTACCTTTGTCTCTCAYTGTCAATGTTCAGACAGAGCCTTCCTGTTGAAACTTAAGTCAGATCATGTCACCCTGGGATGAAAAGCTCTCTACTGCCGTGGGCAGGTCCCATCCATGGCCCTGCTGCTCCCTTCCTGACCCATCCTGCAATCCCCTTTGCTCATTCCAATGCCCACTTGGGCTCAGGTCTGCATTGGCTGTAGCCTCTTACCTCTTTTCAAGAATAGCCTGCCATGCTCTCTCCTGCCCCCAGCTCAGGACTCAACTGTCTCCTTCTCCTTTGCTGACAGCTCCTTTTCAACCTGCAACCTCCACCCCCCACACACACACACACTTGGCTTCTCTTTCATTATTTCTTTGTTTATTGCTGGTAGCTGCCCCTCCCTGATGTGTGTCAAATCCAGACACAATGTCTGGCATCAGGTGCTTGATAAACATATGTCGGAGGAATGAATAATGATTTAGGAGGATAAGAAGAAAGGAGACTAAAGAAGACACAAAACCAACAAAAGTTTCTAAAGATTCTACCCGTAATAAAAAACAGTGTGATCTCAGGTGCCCCATTATTTTCTCCAAGGACTCTGGGCTCACAAGATATTTTCAACAATGTGGCAGAAGTGTCCCAGGGAAAGGAGGGGAAGATGGAGTGGACACCATGTGGTCAGGGGTTGGCAGGGGTCCAAGTTTGGCTGGGGTACCAGTTCTTTATTATTCCCCTGCTCATGTAGGGGCTGGATTCATAGCCAACAAAATTAGATAGGACTGCACTTTGATAAGTGGGCAGATGAATCCCTGCGTGTGAGGGATGGGGGGATAAAGAGGTGAATTGCCCAAGGTTCAGCTACCAACCAGGAACGAGAAACGCGGACTCCTCCGGAGGGAGGCTATTGTTTCGGAGGGAGGGGCATCTGAGTGGGCTGTGTAGACTGACATCCCAGATGTGGGCTGAGATRAAAAGGATTATGTGATTAATGATTTTCTCCAACCTGTCAGCGTAGGTACTTTCTGGTTTTCTCAGTCATAGCTCCCTGTTTGTATGGTTCAGAGAATGTACTGAAATATGTAATTATCTTTTTCTTGTTTATCAGACTCTAAACTCCAGGAGAGCAAAGATCTGGTTTCTCTCAGTCCCTGCTCTAGCCAGTCTAGCACAGTGGCTGACATATGTAGTGGGCATTCAATACACGTTTGTCAAATGAATGAACCCAGATAGAAGGAAACTTTTTTTTGGAGGAGGGGRAATGCTGGGGATTGAACTCAGGGGCACTCAACCACTGAGCCACATCCCCAGCCCTATTTTGTATTTTATTTAGAGACAGGGTCTCACTGAGTTGCTTAGTGCCTCGCTTTTTGCTGAGACTGGCTGTGAACTCGGGATCCTCCTGCCTCAGCCTCCTGAGCTGCTGGGATTACAGGCATGTGCCATAGAACCCGGCTAGAAGGAAACATTTTGATGCCAGTGTTTCTTGTTGGGGGCTGGTGGGTGTGGAACTCTGATCCTTCCTGGATTTCTTTTCTTCCTGTCTTTCTTTTTCCAGGTTGTTATGATTTGGATGTGAGGTGTCCCTCAAAAAATTACATGTGAGACAATGCAAGAAGGTTCAGTGGACAAATTATTGGGTTATGAAAGCCTTAAGACAGTCAATGAATTAGCCCCCTGATAGGGATTACTGAGTGGAAACTGAAGGTGGGTAGAGTGTGGTTGGAGGAGGTGGCAGTGGGGGTGTGGATTGGGGGATATATATGTTTTGTATCTAGTGAGTTGAGTCTCTCTGCTTCCTGATCATCATATGAGCTACTTCCCTCCACCACACTCTTCTACCATGATGTTCTGCCTCACTTGGAGCCCCAAGGAATGGARCTGGTCTTCTATGGACTGATACTTCTGAAACTGTGAGCCCCCAAATAAACTCTTCCTCCTCTACAATTGCTCTGGTCAGATCTTTCAGTCACAACAGTGAAAACAGTGACTAAAACACAGGCTGTGTCCAGGAAACCTGGCCCTAAGGCACTAGAAGCCTCTGTCTTAAGCGTAGACCTTTAGCAACAGCCCTTGTTTGAGGCTCAGGCTCAGACTGGTAGTTACTGGGAGGGGGCACCTGGCATTCCCTAGCTTAGATAGGAGTATAGGTGTGAAGGATGGGTCACAGTTGGAATAACACATCTGGATCTAGGGCAAGGAGGGTGGGGTGGGCGTATGAGTGCAGGTACCACGATAATCTGAGAATAGAGAATAAATCCTCATCTGGGAAAAGTGCAGACCTTTTAGGAGATCAACATTTGAGAAATAATTAAAAAGATAAATTCAACAGAGCCCGGCGATTGATTTGGTATTGCGAAGGAAATGGAGCCCCCAAGGATGATTTCAAGACTTGAAAAGAATCTGCAATAGCCATTTCTTTTTATCCTGTAGGTTCCTGCAGGAATAGCCATGGCGTTCCTTACCACCACACCCCCAAGTTCATTACCGACTTCCGGCGACCTTAGGTTCTGTGCTGTGCTCACAGGCACATGGTCTGGTCTTGAAGACAAACATCAATCAGTACAGGCCACCAGATAAGGGATGCTCTGGGACGGGGGTGGGGGTGGGGGTTAGAGGAGCTGTCACAGCAAGACATTTTAGCGGGTTCTCCCGAGAAGAACAGGTGTTTGTCAGGATGGCGAGGGGTGGGCAAAGAGAATAAGGGTTGGAGGTAAAGAAAGAGGAAGCGCAATAAGATGGAAGATGCCGAGTGGTAAACAAGGGGGTGTGAGCGACAGGATCAGTGTGTGACGCGCCAGGTCCGGTAGCACGTTGAAATTGGTACTGGAGTTCGAATTTATAGCCCGGTCAACCCGGGAAGATGTGATACCTACTGCGCTAACGCACAGGTCACCCTGGCCCGTATTTACAACGTTGGGTTAGCTGGTGCGACACCAGGGAAGGCAGCCGGAAGCTCCTCCGGTGGTGAAGGCGAGGGGAGGGGGTGCTCGTAATAGGGACCCGCAAGTCCGGGTACCCTAGTCTCCGCGAAGCGGCGGCTTTGGGCGGAACCATTCTCCGGAGATGGAAAGGGGAGGAGAAATCCTTCACTATGAACCCAAACCAGCGGAACCCGCGGGAAACACACCCAACTCTTTCCCTCTCTCTTTCTTTACGCAATCCCTCTATTTCTCCACCACTTGTTTCTTTCCTGTGCGATTCCGAGTCCCGGGCACCACTAGTTGCTCCTTAGCTACCCCCTCCTCCAATCGTGGTACAGCCCGGGGGCGCCCGCTCCGGGCACAGGTTATAAAGGCTCGGCTGCGGCAGCGGACTGCGGACTCAAGATGCGCCCCAAAGAGCAGGGACAGGGCTGCGCCGGGGAAGGGCCGGGGTCCGGTTCCGGGTCCGGTTCCGGGCCCGGTTCCGGGGACCCAGCAACAGTTACCCCGGCTCCCCCGCCGGTAGCCAGTCCTACTCCAGAGCCCGAGCCCGCCCCCACGCAGGCACCGGGGACTGGACAGGGGACAGGTTCCCGAGCAGCCTCAGGATCCCAATCCGGATCTCGCCCGGCCTCCCAGACTGGAGCCAAGACGGGAGCCCAGCGCCCATCTGGCCAGTCCGTGCCTGACAACTCGGATGCGCCGTGGACCCGCTTTATATTCCAAGGGCCCTATGGTCCCAAGGCCACTGGCCTGGGGACTGGAAAGGCGGCGAGCATCTGGAAGACACCTGCCGCCTACATTGGCAGGCGTCCTGGGGTGTCCGGCCCTGCGCGCGCCGCATTCATTCGRGAACTGGAAGAAGGTAACCTGGGTCCCTGAGATCCCGGAGCGGGTGGGACTAGGACAGCTCCAGGGAGGAGGGGTTCTGTCGGGCCGGGCGCCTCGCCCTCTCTGGTACTGTCTCATCCCTCCATCATCCCCGCGATGTCACTTTCTTCGATGCCTGTCTGGTCGCCCCTTCCTCATCTCCCATCTCTGTGGGTCTCTGGTTTTTGTCAGTGCGTCAGGTCCAGGGCCAGCGCTCTTCCCCGCCCCCTCTTCGCGCCTGTTGCTGCGGCAGATCTGCGCACTCTCAGTGCCCCCTCCCCGTCTACCGCAGTGCCAGCAGAGGGGCGGGGGCTGCGGGAGGGCGCTGCCGGGCGCGCTCTGAGCTTGCGCTGGCCGGCGGGGCTCTCCGGCGGTGGAGAGGTGGGCGGGCGGAGCGGAGCTGGAGGCTTTGGCCACTTCTTTGCTGCCAGGGTCCTGATTGCGCTTTCCTCCGCGGGGGGGGGGGGGGGGGCGGGGGGCTAGGGCAGCCGTCTGCATTGGTTCTAGAGGCTTAGGTGCCTCTCAATCAGTGCTGGAGAAGTCTCYTCATCCTCTCTTCTGCACACGCAACAGGTGTGGGGGTGGGTGACTGCGTATTTTTATGACCCAGGAGGCTCTGGTGAGCTGGCTAGGCTGCCTGCCGGGTAAGGGGTGATGAGTCAGTCTTTTTGGGGCAGGAAGGGAGCTCCGTCTTCTCACTCCATGACCCTGGGTGTTGAGGGGAGCAGTGAGCTATGGGTAGCATATGCGACATTCCTGACATGGTGGGGCTTTCTCTCCCCATCCCCACCTTTTGCAGCGCTCTGTCCTAACCTACCTCCAGTCAAGAAGATCACCCAAGAAGATATCAAAGTGATGTTATATTTGCTGGAGGAGGTGGGTACCACCTTCCCCACCCAAAGCCAGGTCCAGACCTTAGCCTGGTGCCCATTTTAATTTTATCCTGTCGTGTGGTATGGTTCTGGGTCTTGTCTGTTTCCTGCCTGCCCCCCCCTTGGGGGGCGGTCAAGCTGAAGGTCCCTCTCCTGGAAGACATGTAGCTTGGGCCTCTTTTTTTTCCATAAGGAAAAACTGAGTCAGGCTCCACAGGAGGTTAACGGTACYCTCTGGTTTGGTACCTGGAGAACTAGGGGATGGGGATGGTTTCTCCTAGTGATCCCTTTGTACCCCTAACTTCTTCCAACTGTCTGGGAGGGCTCAGAAACTGGGAAGGTATACCCTATGGGTGGTGGTCCCTCTGCAGAGAGAGCGGGACCTGAATACGGCAGCTCGCATTGGCCAGTCTCTGGTGAAACAGAACAGTGTTTTGATGGAGGAGAACAGCAAGCTGGAAGCCATGCTGGGCTCGGCCAGGGAGGAGGTAACTGGCAGGGGAGGAGGGGGTGGGGGTTGGTCTACACCCTTCTCATGTCAGCACCTGCTCCTGTTGCCTGTYTACTCCCTGACCCTTGGCTCCTGTCCTTCTGCCAGATTTTACACCTCAGACACCAGGTGAACTTGCGGGATGACCTCCTTCAGCTCTATTCAGACTCTGAGGATGAGGATGAGGATGAAGAAGAGGAGGAGGAAGAAGAGAATGAAGAAGAGGAACATGAAGGAGAAGAAGAGCGAAAGCATGATCATCCCTATGATGCCCGMAAGCCGTGAGCATCTTGCCCTTGCACCTGGGCGTTCCTTCCCTTTTCTGAGCCTCTTGGTTCCTTGGTAAAGGGGATCACAGGCAGCGTATCTGCTAGCGGGGTTGCTGGAACTCACTGAGACCACATTCTTAGCCCTGGTGTGTAAAGCCCTGGATGAGATGGAAACTGGGAACTCCACTCCTTTGTGTCCTGACTCCCATTGCTGTCTCCCCAGGACCCCTCAGGAGGAGTCCCGGCACCACTGCCCACAGCTGGAAGCCCTGCAGAAGAAGCTGAGGATGCTGGAGGAGGAGAACGACCAGCTGAGAGAGGAGGTGAAGACCTGGGAGGAGGGCAGGCCCTGGGCAGTGGGTGATGATGGCCCTGCCCCTTCCTCTCTCCCTCCCTCCAGGCCTCTCAACTGGACACCCTGGAGGATGAGGAGCAGATGCTCATCCTGGAATGTGTGGAGCAGTTTTGTACGTGATTTTGTAACTCGGGTAGGGGGCTGTCTTAAGGAGTGGAGGGAAGAAGCTGGGATTTGGAGTATGGAGACCTTAGTTCAAATCCTGGTTCTGGGACTTCGTAGCTGTGTAAGCTTGGACAAGTTCCTTGATCTCTCAGAACCTTCATCTTTAGAATGGGGATTAATGATCCCATCCCACTGCCCAGGCTGATCTCCCCAGGGTTTATGAAAATCAAGAAAGCAACACCTGAGGATGTGCTTTGTGCAGATTGTAAAGAGTGTACCAAAGCCACATGACTACTTGAAGCCTGTTTCCTTAGGCTTGTTTCCTTTGTTATTTAGGGGAGCAAGGAGGGAGCCAGGAGCTGCCAGAGGCCAGGCACCCAGGGCTGAGCTAGCTCAGAGTCATGTGTGGGTGGGTGGCATGCTGGTGTCATTCTATGTACTATATTTATGCAGATGAGCAGGCCCAGTGTTTGTTCCCGAGGAGCTCAAGTCTGGTCCCTGATATATAAAGACAATACCTGAGCTCATGCTGTCCTCTCACCCAAGCCTGGCCTTCCTTCTCCCTGGGTTTCACAGCTTCCCGAGTGGCCTCTTGGGTCCCCAAGTTTTGTTGCTTCTACCTCCTATGAATCTCAAGTCTCTTTCCTCCCTGAGATTCTGGCTACATCTATCCCAGGACACTCGTGCTCTTATAGGCCCTTCTGCATACAGCACAAATGAGTTTTCTTGAGTTTCAGGGATTGAACCCAGGGGTGCTTAACCACTGAGCCCCATTATTATTATTATTATTATTATTATTATTATTATTATTATTTTGAGACAGGGTCTTGCTAAGTTGCTTAGGGCCTCTCTCAACTGCTGAGGTTGGCTTTGAACTTGCAATCCTCCTGCCTCAGTTTCCTGAGCTGGCCCAAATGAGTTTTCTAAAATCTGACCATATCAGCCCTCTGCCTAAAACCCCCAAAAAGCTTCCTGCTGGACAAAGGATAACCCCACTGCCCTGAACACACCCCTCCACTGTCTGATGATTGGTTCTGAGCCTTTCCACTTTCCGCTTGGACTTGTTTCTTCTTTTCTTTTCCTGGTGGAGCCCTACCTGCCCTGTGGTCTCAGCGTGGTTCTTTCTTCCCAGAACCTTTCCCAGACCTTGCAAGGCTCTGTGGGGTGCACAGCTATGCCCTCTCCCATGTGCCCTTGACATTGCCTCTGTTGTAGCCCATATTATGAATTACGATGAGTTCTTTCCCCCAGCTGTCTCCCCAATAGACTTGAGCTCAGTGTGGGCTGGGGACCAGGTCTTGTYGACCATGTACCCTGGTGTCTCTGTCGCTGTCATAAACATTTATTGACAAGATCTGAGTGAGGAACAYCAAGCCCTGTGGGACCCCTTGGCCCTCCAGGGGGGTTGAGGAGCGGGGACAGACAGGCACAAGGGAGCTGGGGCTGACCTGAACCCCGTCCCTAGCCGAGGCCAGCCAGCAGATGGCCGAGCTGTCAGAGGTGCTGGTGCTCAGACTGGAGAACTATGAACGGCAGCAGAAGGAGATTACCCAGCTGCAGGCCCAGATCGCSAAGCTGCAGCAGCGCTGCCAGTCGGTGGGTTGGAGTGTGGGGATCTCCCCAACCTGTCCAGGCTGTGGGACCCTAGTCTCCTTCTCCCTGCCCCTGCCTCATGCAGCACTGGCCTCCACCAGGCCCAACATCTCTGTGTGGGTGTTGGTGGAGATGCCAGAGAACTGCTCATCATGGCCACTCACTGTCCAAGGAGGGGATCACGGCCCTCTCAGAGACTCTCCCAGGCCGCATGACTCCCCTACCTTATATGTCAAGGGCTGCCAAACCCTCCCTGATGTGCCTGGTAGAGTGGGGTGGGGTGCATGTGCCTGGCCTGGGGAGACCTTGGTGGGGCTCATGGGCTCTGGGTTCTTGCAGTATGGGGCTGAGACTGAGAAGCTGCAGCATCAGCTGGCCTCGGAGAAGGGAGTCCATGTGCACCCCCAGGAAGAGGTGAGGTGCCCCATTCTCTTGCCTACCCTTGAGAGCCCCTGGCCTGAAGCAGAGACCTGAAGCCCTTGGCAGCTGCCTGGCTCTCCTAAGAGGACCAGCAGCTTTCAGGCAGGGATCGGGTCTTGTCCCTTTCTGCTCCCTTCCTTTCTGACCCAACTGGCAGGTCACTTGAGGTCTGGAAGGAGCAGGGTGCAAGGACCTGCCCAGGGTCACCCTGTGTGCTGTTCTTTGGATATGGAACCTAGGCCTCATGCCTCTTGGCCTTAGAGTCCCAACACAGCCTCTGGTTGGGTTCCCAACTGCAGGACCTGCGGGAGAAGTATGCGGACTGCGGGGGTGTAGTGTTTGAGCGCCCGGAGGAGGTGAAGACCCTCCGCCAACATGCTGTGGCACCCTCTGGCTCTGTCACCCACTATGCGTACACTGTGCCTCTGGTGAGGACCCTCCTTGACTCTGTATCCGACTACCTCCATGTGCCCTGTGTCTCTGCTCTCAGTCCCTTTCTGTGTCTGAGTGTGGATAGGGGCCCTGGGGGTTGTCTTCTGCCAATGTCCCTCGTCTCCACTGTAGGGGGCAATTCCAAATCTCCCACAGACACTGGCTGAGGAGCTCAGAACGTCTCTAAGGAGGATCATGTCGGACCCTGCGTATTTTATGGGCAGGTGTGTTGCTGGGACCCCGGACCCTGGCCTGGCCATGCTCACCCTGGCTTACCAAGTGGGTGAGCTTTCCTGGAGTGGGAGGGGTTGGCCCGCACCCTCTGCCCTGGCATGCTTCCCATGGTGCCCCCTGTTTCCCTGTACCACCCAGCCCCCTCCTCTGTTGACATAGTCTGAGATGCATCATTTGTCCCTGGGATTTTTTGGCGTGACTGGGCCCCAGGGACTTTGCAGTTTCAGCTCTATTGCCTCAGTATGCTRAAGGTCCTTTTCTCTGTTAAGGAATTATGGGATGCCAGCACGGGAAACGTCCAACCTGGGGTAAGCTGGCCATCTCCCATCATCTTACCTGTCAGCAGCCAGGTAGCCACGTGTAGCTGCTTCTGTGACCCTAGGACTCTAGGGAAGGCCCTGTTCTCTGGGCCCACTGGACTGAGAGTTGTTCTGGGAAGGAGTTGTTCCCTTTTCCTTCAAGTCTTGTCCCTTAGGTGGCTTGAACTTGCAATCCTCCTGCCTCAGTTTCCTGAGATTACAGGTGTGCGCTACTTAAGGCTGCTCTAAGTGGGAACCAAGGCCTTCCCTTCATCTGACCAGGAACTGAGAGGCAAATGACCTGGGATAGAACCATCTGGGACTCAGTCTCTTTACCATGAGTCCTTGGGCAAGTTACTTGACCTGTCTGAGCCTTTCTACAATGGATTTTGTTCCTATGGCAACTAGCTGGGGGGTGGGCTRTGAATATCCCTGCTGGTCACTTCCTTGTAGCAGGGTAGGGGATATAGGAGAAGTTGGGACCGAGGCAGAGTTGGTGGCTTTTCTTCTGGGGCAAGGGCTGGGTGTGTGAATCCTTGAAGCTAGTTCCCAGCTCCCCTCTTCTCTGGCTGGGACAGACCTTGGGAGGGACCCTCAGTTTCTGTGCAGGCCAGGGCAGGGTCAGGAGAGCTCGTAGAGGAGGGGGGGTGGTCCTGCTGGTTGGACTTTGCTCCTCGGCCTCACGGGTGGGAGAGTCCAGGGGGAGTGGAGGAGGGGCCAGTGGTATATGGAACTATGTCACTGTCTCCCTGCCCAGATATGACCCCCGCTACAGGGAGGAGCGAGAGCAGGAGCAGGAATTCAAGGCTGAGCAGGGCTTGATGCCTGCAGAGAATCTCATGCCGCCTGAAGATTTTGAGCCTGCAGAGGAGTTGGTGCCTGAGGAGGAGCTGGGGGCCACAGAGGAGGTGGGGCCAGCTGAGGAAGGACTGTCGGAAGATGCTGAGCTGGTGTCCGAGGACACTGAGGCCTGGGAGGAGGTGGAGCCCGAGGTGGATGAGGCCACACGGATGAATGTGGTGACCTCAGCCCTGGAGGCCAGCGGCCTGGGCCCTTCTCGCCTGGACATGAAGTATGTCCTCCAGCAACTAGCCAACTGGCAAGATGCCCATTACAGGCGGCAGCTGAGGCAGAAGATGCGCCAGAAAGAAGAGCTCTCCCGCGACGGCCTCCCTCCGACCAGCCGGACCAGCTGCAGATCATCCAGCCGATGAGAGGGGAGGGTAGGCGAGCCTCCAAGTGCTCACTTACCCCATCCCGGCCCCACCCAGCGTGCTGATTTGCATGGACTCTGCATATCATTTGCATAGGTACCTCAGGTCCYCCTCAAGGGGAACTGTGGTCCTGATGCTCGTTTTGTGGAATCTGCTTAGAAGTCCAGCTTTCCACCCACTTTTCTCCTGCGGGCTGGACTGGGGGTCAGGGCTGGGACTGTGTCCTCCCCCAGTGCTCCTCAGCTTCCTATCTGTCCACCCCTCCCCCACCCTCGGTCCTACCCACTCTGTCTCCAGGGCTCCCCAACCCTGCAGCAGTAGCCCCAGTTGTTCACCCAGGACTGGAGGCTGGAGGAGGACAGGGCCAGCCACCCTCCCAGGGGCTGGGAGGAAAAGGGGCCTTTGGGGCCACTGAGGCAGGCCATTGATATGAAGGCCTTCAGTAGCAAGGGCCACAGCTGGAGAAGTCCCCTGGGTGAGTCTGGAGGTGGACTCGTTTACCTGCAGGGTGATGGGTGAGTCAGGGTCTCCTCTCCCCAGCTAGAAACCCCACATTTGGGGAGCTGGACCTGCTGAGCCTTGGCCTTCTGGGCCCACCTGTAAGGAGTTCTCAGAGAGATGAAAGGTGGCCTGTGACACTCAGCACATCGAACCCTGCGTTAGCTCCTTTAATCCTCACACCCCTGTAGRCAGGTCTTATTGCCTCACATTTGTTAGGTGAGGAAACTGTGAGGTTCAGTGAACTAAAGTCACTTGTTCAAGGTCATGCAGCTAGGAGTCAATCTGAGCCTRTTCCCTACTGTGGGCAACGGGATCTGAGCTAACTTCACTGTATCCAGCATCTTTCCTGGTCCATCCCTCCCCACAGAGGAGGTCCTGGTGCCCCACTTGGCCAGGTGGGTCAACCYAGTTTATAACTTGTTGGCAGACTTCCTTCTATCTGGTCTGCCACCCCTCTAATGGCCCTTTGGTCACCAGTAGRCAGAACAGGATTGGCCTCAGCAGGGCCACTGTGTAGAGTTGTGCAGCTTGTAAACGGAATCATGACTTTTGTGACTGTGTAACTATCTGTGGTGGCTTTCTGTCTTCTTCTGATACAGCCGGCCAGCCCCTACCTGCTGCCCGTGCCCGTGCCAGGCCGGCGGGGGTCAGGCCCTCGGGTCACATTCTCTCCCTTCTCTCCCAGGCTTTGCTCTTTCCCAGCAGCCTGCAGAGGCCCCTTGTTCCATTGCCAGGCCAAGTTCCACCCACCCCAGGCCCTCCTTCCCCTTTCAAAATGGGATTCCATGTCTGTCACCAGCCTACCAAGCCTTGTTCTGGGACAGGCTGAAGGAACCTCAGCCCTTGTTCTGTGGCTGGTAGAAAAGCCACAAAAGCTGGGCCTGGATCATATGGTGGCCCCAGGGGTGAAGGAAGACCAGAGGGAGGCCGGCCCCCTGCCAGACCCAGCTCTGAGATAGGTGGGACTGAGTTGGAGTGGGGCCCAGTTCTTATTGACTTTTAGGGACCTGGCTCTCTTCCCTTGTTCTTCCTTTCTTCTCGGTCTTTATTACTGTGTGTAACCAGAAGTGTGCCTGTGTGTGGGTGGGTGAGGGGTCCCTCTACCCAGTGATGTGTCACCCCTACCCCGCCACCACCTGTGTAGCCTGTGAGTGTCCAGATTCCCTGCCCAAGGCCCAGTGCCTCCCTCTTGCCGTCCTCCCCCAGTGCCCCTTGTTTCTTCGTTCTAGTTGTTCTGCCCTTTCCCACCCCTTTGCTCGTAAACAGCTGGGGTCTGGGGCTCAGGACCCCTGTGAGTGCCTGCCCCGCCTCCCACAGCGCTTCTCAGTCTCGTTGCTTGTCAGCCTGTGTTYGTGCCGGTGCAGGAAATAAAGGACCTGTGTGCTACCTGACCAGCCTCCGATCTTCTTTCTCAGGGAGCGTGGTGTGCGTGTGTATGTGTGCATCTGTGTGTTTGCGCGCACGAGCACGTGTGCACCATTTCAAGGAGTAAATTGTGGAGAGAGGACGAACTCTAACGCCGAGTGACATGCCCAGGACTTTCATTAAATACAATGACATACCAACAACCCYGGTGGCATGGGGGGAGGTGATAAACATTTGTCAGTTGGTGAAACTGAGGCCTACGCAGGTTCGGTGATCTCCCAAGCCAGGGTCTAACAGCTGATGATGTGCTGGGGTTGAACCCCATCCTTGGAGTCCATGCTGGGGCAGACCACCTTCTCTGGTCCTTTCTGATCCAGGGACTTTGCCCTTGTACCCTGGCTAGGTAAAGTGGGTGAGTCACCTTCTGTTTTAGGCTGAGGTCCCCCAGAAGCAGACCTGGAGAACCAAATAAGTAGCTCATTTGGAAGATGATCCCAGGAAGTACTCTTTGGGGGAGCAGGGAAGTGAGAATAGGAGGAAACGAATGAAAGGGGGTTATATAGGCAACGACACTCAGGACTCCCTGGAATGTGAGGAGGAAGTGTGACCTTGCACAGTTCAAAATTGAGACATGTGAACCAGTTTATGTCAAATGCAGAATCTTGTCAGGAATAGTCGAAAGAGGATTGCAAGGCCAGCCTCAGCCCTTGGCCACTTACTGAAGCTCTCAGCAATTTAGTGAGACCCTGTCTTAATAAATAAATAAATAAATAAGGCTGTGCTTGTTAGCTGTTGGCATTTGGGACACACAGATGTAGAGTCCATCTGTTATCCCACTGAGGATAACAGGGACGTGCCTCCTCCAGCTCCCACTCATCCCTGGTCAAGGGCTGCCCCTGCGGCATTAGCATTGCCACTGGCTGTGCTCCTGCAGCCGGGAGGGAAGAGCTCTTGGCAGGGAGTGCCTGGTGCGTAGGAGGACCTGGCCAGCGTGAGCTGCAATGGGGAGTGCCCAGCCAGGGTGTGGGCACTGACAGTGTCTGCTACAGTCCAGTTCTTTTATCACTATGTGAACTTGAGCTCCATGTGGACTTTACTGTGGCCTGGCATTGCTTCTTTAAGATGGTGCCTGGCCGGGCGCGGTGGCATACGCCTGTAATCCCAGTGGCTGGGGAGTCTGAGACAGGGGGATTACAAGTTCAAAGCTAGCCTCAGAAAAAGTAAGGTGTTAAGCAACTCAGTGAGACCCTATCTCTAAATAAAATACAAAATATGGCTGGGGATGTGGCTCAGTGGACAAGTGCCCCTGAGTGCAATCCCCAGTACCAGGCCTCTTTCTTAGCAGTAGAAGCTACAGGTTTGCCCTAGACCACTGAGTCCATAAAAACGTCACCAAGATTCCTGAATAGTRACAGAGTTTATGCTCCTACTTTTGGTATACATGTGTCTTACCAGGGTCACCGGGGTACTTGCCACTTCCTGTTCACTAGGTATAATAAACATGGTGACATCAATTTGTGAACTGCTGTAAGACTCTGCAGATGTTTAGATGATCAAAGCTCTTTGGGACTATATTATGACAGAGAGTTAGGAAGGTGAATGTGAATTCAGGCAAGACCTTGAATGTGTACTGTTGTCTCTTCCAACTAAATGAGAGCTCCTTTCTTTCTAATAAGAATTTGAAAATAGATTTTCATCAGGTCATACCATGTATCAAGTTTGTGTTTATCTGTTCTAGTGGAGATGCCACCCTTGCCACAGCTGCTGTGGCCACAATTCTTTTTTTTTTTTTTTTTTTTGGTACCAGGGATTGAACTCAGGGGCGCTAAATCACTGAGCCACATCCCCAACCTATTTTGTATTTTATTTAGAGACAGGGTCTCAATGAGTTGCTCAGTGCCTTGCTTTTTGCTGAGGCTGGCTGTGAACTCCTAATCCTCTTGCCTCAGCCTCCTTAGTCACTAGGATTATAGGCATGTTATTTCTTATGGTACTGGGAATTGAACGCAGGGACACTCTACCACTGAGTTACATTCTCGGCCCTTCTTTATTTTGGAACAGGGTCTGGCTCAGTTGCTGAAGCTAGCCTGGAACTTGAGATTCGCTTGCCTCAGCCTCCAGAGTAGCTGTGATTACATGTGTGGACCACTGCGTCCAGCCAAGTGTCTGGTTTAGTCACTTATTCTTTGTGGTAATGGTGATTGAACCCAGGGCCTTACATATGAAAGGCAAGTGCTCTGCCACTGAGCTACATTCCCAGCCCAAGGTTTTGTTTTTAAGCCACACAATTTGTGGTCTTTTATGGCACAGTTCTAGCAAATTCATACAGTATGGCCGCGTGCAGTGGCGCACGCCTGTAATCCCAGCAACTCAGGAGGCTGAGACAGGAAGATTATGAATTAAAAACCAGCCTCAGCAAAAGCAAGGTGCTAAGCATCTCAGGGAGACCCTGTCTCTAAATAAAATACAAAACAGGGCTGGGATGTGGCTCAGTGGTCGAGTGGTTGAGTAGCCCCTGAGTTCAATCCACAGTACTCCCCCCTGCAAAAAAATAAAAATACAGGACAAATTAATACTCTCTAATGCTTTATGTTTTCCTCATTATGCACATGCTAAGACCCTAGTTTTTTGGTTTAGAAGCTCCAAAAGAAGCAGGGTCAGATTTTTTTTTTTTTTGTAACAAGGATTGAACCCAGGGGTGCTTAACCACTGAACCACATTCCCCAGCCCTTTTTTATTTTTTATTTTGAGGCAGGGTCCTGCTAAGTTGCTTTGGGCTTCACTATATTGCTGAGGCTGGTTTTGAACTTGCGATCTTCCTGCCTTAGCCTCCAGAGCCTCTAAGATTACAAGCATGCTTCACCACACCTGGCACAGGGTCAGATCTTGAAGAAAAGCATCATCTTATGAAGTGTCTGTTTCTGGGAGGCTTTTGCATGGTCTCCAGTGAAGAGGAAGCTGTTCTCCCTTGGTGAGGTACAGGTTTTTCTTCTAGTCCTGAGGGTTCAGAAAAATCTGRGAGTTCAAGGTTGTTAAGGGTATCTCCTAAAATATCCCACCCAAGGTCTCATGGTCCCACTTCTTTTGTTCTTTAGCAGAGGAGACTTGCTGGGATTCTTATTTAAGCCCCATTTATTACTTTGCATTCTTACAATCAGATCTTGGGCTTGTTTTTCAGTCTTGTCTTCTCTTTGCTACAGTGGAAACGGTTGGACTTTCACAACATATCTAGAGTTGATAGTGGCTGACATGGTTTCTTCCTCAAGGGATTCTCTGATGGTTAACAATAGCCAACCAGCTCCAGAGTTTAGGTTGTAATGGTCGAGGCTCCTATCTCTCAATTGCTGGAGAAATCACCTATGTGGGCGCTTCCCTTTCTACCTGCATCCCGTTCCTAATGAGGGGCTGTAGCTCAATGGTAAGTGCTTGCCTAGCATTCATGAAGCCCTGGGTTAGATCCCCAACATTACCCGCACATACAAATAGTGATATTCCAGTATTCCAGGGATTATCAGCACCTCATTTCATACCAACAATGGGAGTTGGCTGTTGAAGAATCAATTTCACAGTCCCATTATGAGGGTCTACCTCCTACAACTCCTAAATCCCTTCTGGTCTTGGGACAAGTTTTCCCAGAAGCAGACTTGGAGACAAGGATTGAATGCCATTTGTTTGGGTGCATCCCAGGGAACACCAGTGGGAACACAATGATGTGAGACAGGGAAGGAAGGAAGGCAATGAAGGATATCACTGAACAAGTTACTGCTCTGGGTAACTGGGGCTCACCTTGTTGGGAAACCCTGGGAGACAGAGTGGAATATACTTTTCCGATCCAGGGACTTGGGGAACTGGAGTAGTCACCCTATAACTCTCATCTGTCATGGCCTGAGAGGTGTTCATGGAGAATTTAATTCCTCATCATTTTCAACCTGTCTTGAGCTTGGACTGAGAGTAAGCTCTGAAGGAAACTGGAAAATACACCCAAGATATGCCTCATCGGCATAAGAGTTATTTTGAGCTGCAGGCAATTGAGAAGTTCAAGGCAATTGAGAAGCAGCAGCTATAAGAAAAGTGGCACCGTTGGCACCCTGTCCCCCTCCATCTGCCTAAAAGCAGGACATAAACTTTCAAAGATGTCTCTTCTTCTCACTCTACCAAGAAGGGCAAAAGTTAACAGCTGGAGACAATTTAGACCCTTTTCAACCTGGAGATGGCACCAGAATGATCTACAGAACAAGCTTGTCTAACCTCTATCTACCATTCGTTTCCTATCTATTTGCTTGCTACTCTTGGAAGCCCCAAAACACTTTCCTTTATCCTGCCACTTCTTGTCAGACCTAGTGTTCTTTGTTGAAGATGTCATACGGGCCCAAATTCTGAGCCACGTTTTTGAGTTACTCATCTCTGGATACTCCACGTGTTAAGTGTGCAATGCACCTGCTGATAAATTTGCTTTCTTTTCTTGTGTAATTTTTTTTTTAATTAGAGTCCAGCCGTGACTATTGTGGATAGAGGGCTTTTTTTCCTTCCCCTCCAGTCGTCAGGAGAGTAGCTGTGCCTGTGGTGGGATGCGGCTGATAAGCACTAGAACAGTGGAGACTGCAGGTGAGGGATGATCAGCTGTGCCAGTCACTCACCTGTCAATCTGGCAAGTATTTATTTGGTTCCCCTGGGTTTTATTCATTTTAAAAWTTTTCTTCTTTTCTTACTTTCTTTCTCTTCCTTCCTTTCTTTTCTTTCTTTGGTCTTTTTTCCTTTTGTGTGTATGTGTGGCACTGGGGATTGAACCCAGGAGCACCCTACCATTGAGCTATATCCCTAGCCTGTTTTATTTTTTATTTTGAGACAGGGTCTCAGTAAGAGTCCCAGGCTGGCCTTGAACTAGCGATCCTCCTGCCTCAGCTGCCCTGTGATGACAGGCACGCACCACCACACCTGAATCTTCCTCTATTTTCGGCACTAGGAATACAGCAAAGAAGAGAGACACGTGGTCACCACTCTCCAAATTTTCTGCCTAGCTGAGGAGGCAGATGATAAACTGATAAAACACCAACTGAAGAYTGTGAAATATGTTCTCAAGAAGATGTTATGTTGTGAGCTGAGCATGGTAGCACACACCTCTAATCCCAGCAGCTCAAGGGGATGAGGCAGGAGGATTGCAAATTCAAAGTCAGCCTCAGCAATTTAGCAAGGCCCTAAGTAACTTAGCAAGACTGTCTCTCAAAGTGAGTGTATGTCCTGCTTTTAGGCAGATGGAGGGTGCGGGGTGCCAGGGAACTTTTCTTATTTATTTTCTTATTTATTTATCCTCAAAATAAAATAAAAAGGGCTGTGGATGTGGCTCAGTGTTTAAGCAGCCCTGGGTTCAATCTCCAGTACCAAAAAAAAAAAAAAAAAGAGTTCTGTTGTGATGGAGTAACAAAGGGTGAGGAGCAGAAGGACCAGGTCTCTCAGGAAGAGGCATTTCAACCAAGGATTCAAGGACAAGAGGGGAACCTGCTGTATGTGTGTCTGGGGTAGAACATTCCAAGCATAGGGAACATCGAGGACAGAGGAAGGAGCCTGGTGTGTTTGAGTAAGGCRAGGAAGACACAGGCATTTGCAGGGGGAGGAGGGTGGCAGGGGTATCTCTTAGAGCTTCAACAGAGTTGAGGTTTYGGGGCTGGGGCTGGGGCTCAGTGGTAGAGTGCTTGCCTAGCATGTGTGAGGCATGGGGTTTGATTCTCAGCACCGCATATAAATAAACAAAATAAAAGTCTATTGACCACTAAAAAATATTTTTAAAAAAGAGTTTAGATTCCATTCTAAGTGCAAGGGCAGGCTTAGAAGGTGAAAACTGAGAGTGACACAATTGGATTTATCTTTATTTTTTTGCAGTACTGAGGATTGAAACCAGGGGCACTCTTCCACTGAGCTACCTCCCCAGCCCTTTTTWAAAAAATTTAATATTGTGACAGGATCTCACTAAGTTTCCCAGGCTGAACTTGAACTTGCAATCTTTCTGCCTCAGGCTTCTGAATTCGATTTATCTCTTGAAAACATTACTCTGGCTGAAAACTCCACCACTTACTCTCTTACCCACCCAGATAGATGATTATTATTATTATTATTATTATTTTAATATTTATTTTTTAGGTGTAGATGCACACAACACAATGCCTTTATTTATTTGTTTTTTTATGTGGTGCTGAGGATCGAACCCGGGTCCTGCCTGTGCTAGGCGAGCGCTCTACTGCTGAGCCACAATCCCAGCCCCTATTATTATTTTTAATATATTTTTTAGTTGTGGATGAACCTTTATTTATTTATTTTTATGTGGTGCTGAGGATGGAACCCAGTGCCTCACACATGTTAGGCAAGCACTCTACCACTGAGCCAGAAGCCCAGCCCTGCCACCCAGATAGATTCTTGTTCAGTGCTGTGCTCTGGGAGAAGAGTTAGCCTTGGTCCATTGTCCTAGGGGTTGCTCAGTGTCTCTGTTGCTAGGCAGAGYTTAACTCTCCTTGATGCCTCAATCCTGTCCCCAGCTGAGTCCCCCTTCCCAGCCTCACATCATTTGACACAATCCAGTATCCATTTGAAGCTAGTTTATTCTGATTTGCTTTTTAGAGGGTGGGGCTATGGTGGGGTGGGAGGTGGCGGAGCTCTGAAGCTTGGTTCTAGGGAYGCTGGTCTCCTTCCTCAGCACTGCGGCGGCCGAAGTCCATCCACCCATATGCTGCTTCTTCTTCCTCCATCCATGGCCCCTGCTTCTTGGACAGGTCTGAGGAAGCAATAGGAGGTGAAAATGAGGGAAAGACACCTATTCTCAGGAACTGAGGTCAGGGCTAGTATGGGGGGGCCTTACAGTCACTTTGGTCGGCAGCTCTTACCTGCCACAAGGTGTGGGGGCCCCCGGGGCCCTAGCTGCCTTCGGTCCAGCCACTGTGGCTCCAGGCCTTTATTGGTCACAGGACCCAAGGGCGCATCCTGCAGCTGCGAGCGGGACTTCCAGGAAGCTTCAGAGAAGGCAGCCAGAGCCAGCACCAGAACCAGCGCATATACACACAGTCGCTGCATCTTGTCTGCAAAGGGGAGAAGGCCCAGGTTTCAGGGTGTCCCTTCTCAGGCCCAGCAATAGGAAGTCAGATCACATGGGCTCCAGGTTAGGGCTCCCACCTGCCGCAGGCCTGTGACTCCCTGTGGGTTGCAGCTGTATCTCAGGTTCCTCTCTCCAGTGCCTGCCAGGTCTGCCCAGCACCCCAGGCCTGGCCTTTCCTCCTTACCTGCTTCCCTCAGAGAAATTCAGACCCTAGAGCAGTGGTTCCCAGACGGCTCTGTGGGATCTGAGGCCATGTTCATGGCTGTGTAGATATTTAAATTTTGTAATTTAAAGTAAACTTTTAAATAGTAACACCAAGGAGCATACACATACCACATGCAGTCACTTTGGAGATCACCAGAATGGTGGCCAGGTCTTACTGTGTTTGTGTGGCCCTTGGAGGAAGGGGCCTCCTGCCTTGTTTGATTAGCTGAGGAATATCCTGTGACTGTACTAAAGTGTTAGGGAAAAATTAAGTTGTCACCACTTGCAACTAAGTTCCATGGTGGATCAAGTTTGGGGAAACCTTAATACAGAACTACATGGGATGCCCGAACACAAGAGCCAAAGGCTCATCAGTTCTCTGCATTCAGTATTTTTGTGTTCTTTCAGCCTCGTTATTCTGATTGGCTCTATCACAAGTAAATGATAGAAACTTTCTCCTGTAAAGAAAAACCTTTGTGGGCTGGGGTTGTGGCTCAGTGGTAGAGCGCTCGCCCGGCATGCACGAGGCACTGGGTTTGATCCTCAGCACCACATAAATGTAAAACAAAGATATTGTGTCCACCTAAAAAAATGAAGAATAAATATTAAAAAAAGACATTTGTATTAATATGATACTTCTTTTTCCCCTCTTTGATACTGGGGATTGATCCCAGGGTGCTTTATTACTGAGCTACATCCCCAGCTGTTTTATTTATTTATTTATTTTTGAGATTGGTTATCTTGCTAAGTTGCTTAGGGACCCGCTATGTTGCTAAGGCTGGATTTGAACTTGCAATCCRCCTTTCCTCAACCTCCCGAGTCACTGAGATCATCGACATGTGCCCCCATGCCTGGCTAAAATGCTGCTTTCAATGTTTTTTTCATAATGAGGTTCTCTGGTTAGGTTTCCTTTGGGAGAAAAAAGAATTGGCTGCTACCGAAACAGAAGTTGAAAAATCAGTGGCCTAGAGCTACACTGTCCAATGAAAGTGGCACATTTAACCAATCGGTAGCTGCTAGCCACAATTAATTAACAAAATAAAATAATACATAATAACAAAATAAAATAATACTTAACAATAATATAATTAAATTTAAGTGCACTTTATAGAAAAATCCCTCCTTTAGCAGAGTGTGTGGGTACACGCCTGCAGTCCCAGCTACTGAGGAGGCTGAGCTAGGAGGGCTGCTTGAGTCCCCGAGTTTGAGACCAGCCGGGCTAAAAAAAAAAACGATTCTTCTCTCAAACTAGCCACATGTTAAGAGCACCCGTGGCTCATGGCTGCCATCAGTATGGCTGTCCAAACAGTGCTAATGCAGAACATTTCCATCATCATGGCAAGTTCTTTGGGGGCAGTGCTGGTCTAGAAGAGAGGTAGAGATGGAATCCAGGAGAGAGGAGTTCCAGTTCCAGTCCTGCCTGATCATTTGAATGACTTTGAGCAAGTCAGATTTCCCTCCCAGGCCTCGGTTTTCTCATCTGAATGACAGGAGAGTAGCCCTTGTCCTCCTCACCTCCCTGGGCTGGGAAGAGTGTCAGGAAAGAGGGCCAGCAGGGTCCTGGCTGGAGCACAAAGGCAGGTGGAAGACAAGGGCTGGGAATGCCAGGGTTGTCCTAGAGCCAAGTCCTAATTATTTTCTGGGCTAAGGGTTGGGTCCCATCCCTGGAGACACCAAGGTGTGAGCCCCAGGCTCTGGCCAGTCGCCTGGTACCTTGATGGTGAGGGACTTGTCAACACTGTCTCCCACTCTCCCCTCCCCTCCCCTCGGGGTTTTCTCACCTGCAGAGCTGGGAGGCAGGTGGTGCAGTAGCAGGGTCAGCTCTCTGCTCTTCTTGATGCTCCAGGCCTGCCTTATAAAGCCCTCAAAGTCCCTCCCAAAGCCTCCTCTGGCATGAGGCCAGCCTCCCCACAGCAAGAGAAATGGGCATGGGGCATAGGCAGAACCCGCCACCTCTGCCCCACCCTGTCACGCAGTCTTAGTCAGTCATCTGGGGTTTGGGAAATGGAAGTGAGGGAGCTCATTAGCTGGGCACATGGGGCAGGCAAGTGACAGGGACATGCTCCCCAGGTCATGAGTGGTTGCTCCCACCATATCCTTGGGGTCAGAGACCTGGTACTCTTCTCTTAGACTCTATTCCTTGGGTGGGGGTAGGTGAGGGGAATGAACCCCGTGACCTTAGTTTCAGAGGAAGCCTATATCTCCTATTTGTTTGATGGCCAAGGAGTGTGTGAGTGAGGAGTGGTATATCGATCCCTGTCCCCTCCACCAGCCTCTGCAAACAGGACGTATTGTAGTTATCAGGAGCAATGGGCCGTGGGTTGATGGCCTCGCTCCTTCTGCAGAGTGGCTCACGTCCTGGTTGCCTCTGAAACCTTTCATCCTCCCCTGACCAGGGAAAACCCGGCCTCTCTYTTCCCCATCTACTTCCCTAGACCCGCTCCCCAGCTCCAGCCTCTTGCAAACCCTCTACCCAGAGTTCGAGGAGGGTCCCTCGTTTCAAGCCCCCCTGGATTTGCTTTTACAGGGAGATAGTAATCTGCATGAAGCATTCACAGCTTTGCAGTGTAAAAACACACCTCAAAACTGGATCAGTGGGGCATGCCTGCAATCCCAGTGACTCAGGAGGCTGAGGTAGAAGGCTCCCAAGGCCAGCCTCAGCAATTTAGTGAGATCCTCAGTAATTCAGGAAGACCCTGACTTAAAAAATAAAAAGGGCTGGGGATGTGGCTCAGTGGTAAAGCGTCCCTGGGTTCAATTACAGAACCCCTCCTTCAAAAAAAAAAAAAAAAAGTCTTAAAAGATTAGCAAACAGGGCCGGGTGCAGTGGTGCACTCTGTAATTCCAGCTGCTTGGGAGACCGAGACAGGAGGATTGGAGTTCTAAGCCAACCTCAGCAACAGTGAGGCACTAAGCAACTTAGTGAGACCCTGTCTCTAATAAAATACAAAATTGCGCTAGGGATGTGGCTCAATGGTTGAATGCCCCTGAGTTTAATCCCTGGTACTCCCCTCCCCCCAAAAAAAGATTAGCAAACAGACTAAGGCATTTGCCAAAAATGGCCCAAAATACAAAATGGCACACTTGTTGACTTATTTGGTCAATTGCTACCTGGACATGGTTTGGATGGATGTAGCGGGCTCTAGGCTATTATTTTATTTTTCCAGAGTTGGAACCAGACATTTGCTCTTGTTCATGAGTCATCAGCATCCCCCCCTCCACTTCTGAAGGGGAGTTCTGATGCGCCTCGGGTCTTGGATAAGGGCAGTGGTACCCACGCTCGAAGCCAGCCTTGCTGAGAATTAATGGGTAATGAAGGATGCAGGCTGTGAGGTGTCCATGGCAACCGGTGGCCAAATGTTCTGGTGAATAACCACTCTAATTCAGAGCAGGACACGGTGACTCAGCAGAGGGAATAAATGAAAAATGACAAAAAAACAGCACAGACATTGATGATAATTAATTGAATCACAGAATCTCAGAGATGGAAGTACTTTGAGAGGGTCTGGGGGAAAGGGTAGAGCGGGAGCCGCTCTGTTTATATCCCTGAGGGGATGGAGACGGTGTTGCCGTGGTAACAGGAAATTACCAGCGTTCAGTACAGCCCAGGTTTGTCCAGGCTGGTTTTTTCTGCTGGTGGACAGGGTTACGGCCCCCTTGGTTGTTCTTCTCCAGGTGCTTACCGGAGGTCGGCAAGTTCCCCATTCGGCACCCATTCATGGCGGGTGTCACCGTGGGCACTGTCRGGCCTGCAGGAGTGGGGTCATCTTCAGAGAGGTGAGAGACGGCCCTCATTCCAGGAGCCCACAGTCATGGAAACTGTGTGTTCTCCCCACAGGGGCACTTGGTCTGATGGAAGGGAAAGGGTCTCCTTGTCCTTCCCTTTTCCAGCTTGTTGAGCTTTGGATAAATCTCTCCGCTGAGCTGTTTTCTCCTCCAGGAAGTGAGGGGAATGATTTGGGATGGGTCTTGTGATGTACATAAAGCCCTCAACTCAGTGTCCAGAACATCTTGGGAATTTCACTCATTTGGGCATCATCAAGACCCCTTGCCCTATCGAGGTCTCAGATACCCACTCACAAAAGCCACTCTCTCTCTCTAAATTGAAGATCAGGTTTCAAATCCTAGGCCCCCAATCCCACATCCTCCCTGTCCACCTGCCCCAGTCATCACAATGACAAGGTTGCATGTGAGTCAGTGGCCAGCCCTCTGCATGAATGAACACAGTTCCTCTTCACCATGGTCCTGGGGTATATGGGCTTGTGTGACTCCTTTCTACAGACGAAGAAACTGAGGCTCAGACAGGCAAAGCAATCACCATTCTGAGTTCACACACCAAAAAAGGAGAGCTGGGCCTGAAATCCAGGGCTGTGTGAGGTGTGTCCAGGCAGAATAATGGTCTTCCCATGTCCACAGCCCAATTCCTGGAGCTTGTGAATATGTGACATTCCATGGCAGAGGGACTTTGCACATATAATTAAGGTTACATGTTTTAAAAGAGAGAGATCATCCTGGATTATCTGACTGGGCCCAATTTAATCACGCAGTCTTAAAAAGCAGAGAAATTTCCCCAGCTACAGATGGAAGAGATGTGGCCATAGCCCGTGTGAGGTCATGGGTTCAATCTCCAGCACCCCAAAAAACAACAATAAAATGACTGATGTCACTGAAGGACAATTAGAAAGATCTTAAGTTATGAGGACTCCCATGCAGTTGCTGATTAGAACGTGGTGGCAGGACACTCAGGTGGCCTTGGGGATCTCAGAGAGGCCCT